TTTACTTTTGCATGTGTATTACGTGAATTTATTTTATCATTTTTACAAGTGTATTTCTGATATATTAATTCATTGGTTTTATGATAATGATGATGAGGCGGATGAGGATAATGATATGAGCAAAGTGTTTTCGGGCAAAGATGATAATTTGGAATTACCTAATGATAAGGTAAATGATATTAGTTTAATGCTTTCTGATGAAGATGCACAATATTACTATGATTTAAGTAATGTTAAAACATATAAAAAATAAGATCATTTAATTATTGTATATTTAACAATAAGATGTATCATAACACAGCAAATATTTATATATACGCTCACATGATTTTATTTATGAAAAGTAAGAGATATTTTTTAATGCAAATAAATTAAATAAATTTATTTTCCAATGGAACGTATAAATTATTACATGTATTTTTTTCTGGTAAAATGTTTAATGCATCAAAAAATTATATTTCTTCCTTGTTTATAAATTCCATATTAGATAATTCTTGACTAGGCATACTAACATTATGAGATAAGGAGATATTTGATAAATTAGAATCGTTATAACTCTGATTTATTTCAGAAGAATTAATATTTTGTGTTTTATTTGTGTCCTCATAGGGGTGGAGGTTGAAGAGGTATTGTTTTAATATTTTGTTTGGGATTTCTCACATCAAGATTGTTTGTATTAATGTTGATTTCATCACGGGTTAAAGATATATATGGTGATTGTCTTTGAATCCTCCTATCAACAACAGATGAACTCCGTTCTCTCGCCTCTTCTACAATATTTATATTACTTGTATTATTTCGTCTGTCAACCTCATCCCTTCTACTAGGAACTCTTCAGGTGGAAGATGCAGATCGATCCCTTTGACCTGCGGAAGATTCACGACAACTTGAACCTATCATTGATGTTAATTCATCATAAGTTGGTGGTGGAGTACGGTTACGACATCTTTCTTGGGCACGTCCCATGGCAATGTTTGAATTATGAATCATATCAAATGGTGTTTCTATTCATATATCCAGTAAAAAAAATTAGCTTGTTTACTTTGCAGATATATGATGTACAATTCCAATGTTTGAATCAATAACAAATACTTGAAATACTTGATTTATGATCTTACGTGATTTCTACCAGAAGTGAGTTCAAAAATTCCTCAAAATATCGTTCACCAACTTTGCTTTGACGCTCAGAATTATTTCCTGCAATATATTGGCATATTAACTGATATGAATTGCCGAAGACAGTCACATAGTGATTATAATGTGAGTATGATTTGTATTAAATGATATTATGTTATTTTATATACTTACATTATGGTCCCTCACAAGATTTTAGAATTTCAACTTGCAATTATACCCTGTGTATGCCATTCCAAATTGTTCTTTTATTTTATTCACAATGCTATCCCAGAAATTCATCCTATTTCCAATTATACTATGATATTCTGAATTTCTGTTTTTTTGTTCGCTGATTAATAATCGCAAATGATCTTCCGTCCACATGTTTAGATATGTTAGTATTTTTATCACACCTTAACTGTGGTAACGAATTTTCTTATTATTATATACCAAAAAATTCATCGTACCTATGTTGAGCTTTACATTGCTACTGGGTTCTGTTAAAAATTATAAGGGTTGTAATACATAGTCATGATTAACTCTAATTGTCATGGAAAAAATAATTTTGGGGCGATCATTATTAATAAAATTTTCGATACTAAAAATATTGTACAACATAAAATCGAATACCAATATGATATACAGTATATATATATAAACTATTTGTTATGTAACGTGAAATCCATCTCGTAACACAAATATATAAAAACAAACTTAAATCAGTCTAATATTTTTAATATTAATATTAAAATTTATACAAAAAACGACCAATGGATGATTTTCTTATTTAGTAATTTTTTTCTAGGAAAGGAAGTTATTTAAATAGTACTGCATACTATGTTCCAATCATTTCAAATTAGTCAATCGAAAAAATATAATAAGGAATCATGTGAATGTAGTTAGACAAACCCGTCAATATTTAATATATTTTAATTAATTAATAATTAATGATTACAATACGATACATCAGCATTAAATATGTTATGTTGCTCGATGTTAACTATTTTTTTATGTTAAATAGTTGACATGTAAGGAAATTTATTAAAACACATGTATTTGTGTTAATATCATTGTTAATTCTCGATTCAGGAATCCTAACCGATCTTCTTTGGCATAACGTCATAAACAAGATATAACAGGAATGAGCAGGAATTATGAATGGATTTGGGCTAAACCTATTTCTTTTTTTTTTTATTTATTTGAAATTCTCTTTATATGAACAAGTTTGTTGATAAATTAAATTTAAAAGATTTTTTTTTCTTTTTTGAATGATATTTCGACAATGCTGTATTAGTCGTTTTGTACGAGCCATAAAAAATAAATTTTTTTTAATTATCTTTTTATTTATATTAAATTTTAAGATAATTCAAATTGATATTTTCATGAGATGGCTACGCAAATCCTGGTGTTGACGTTTTATTATTAACACAAATATGGTATGATCAATTCAAATCAATCAAATCAATTTCAAAACCAATTTACCTAATAAATCTTTATTTCAAAGATTTGTAAAGATTTGTGTAACTTCGTATACATACGAATTTATTTTGACATTTGAATTTATTTCAATTCGTGTGATATTATATATTCGATTTGAAATTATTAATTCGAGATTTGCGATAAACGAAAAGCTATTTATATAGGAACCATAATCTCGTTCCGGAATAAGAATATCGTAAGAACTATCTTATAAAAGTCCTTTTTCTCCATTAACATCATAAAACGCAATGGTTCTGAAGACTTATTTTTAGTTTAAAATGATAGCATCAATAAATAAAGATATATACCTTTTTTTTTGTAATGATTAAAAATTAATTTTTATATATAATTGGGAAAAGTTTCCCGAAAATCCATTATATAAATCCTTCCGCTTCTGGCGGATCACGAATTAAAATTTAAAATTTAACCTTTAAATATATATAAACCATTTTTTTTCGGTTTGCTTTCTTTATAATTACCGCATTGAATTGCTTGAAATTACTAGATCATAAATAACTTTTAACATTTAAAATGAATCTTATAATAATTTTTCTCTTATCTTTTGTTCCTGCTATCCATTCCTGGATCACTTTGACACTCGAATTCGAATGGGATCCTAAACATAAACATAAACATAATCATAATCATAATCATAATCACACACACTCACACACACACAAACATATATACAATAGTACTTATGCAAAAGTTAGTGTTGGGGATAGATATCCTTATGTATATGGTGACATCATGAATGATTATGTTCAAGGTTATGTGCCTTCCCCTCCTCCATTTAAATTATATTTTGGTGGATTTGCTTCTGAGTATGATTTTTATATGTGGAATGTAACACTGGATTATGACACTAAAAAGAACTACGTAAAAATAAGCTCTAAACATTATAATAATGGTGCCCTTTATGTTATGAATAATAATGTGACTTGGTCTTTGAATCAAACATTTCATGTTATTACGAAAATAACAGAGAAAAAAAATACTGGTAATCAACTTGATGGGGATTTTCTTCCACCTACTTCATTATATTTAGAACTTGCATCTATGGGATATGGCATGGAAAATGATGCAATCATTAAGGATAATGACATTCCAAAATTTATCGATTGTTTTCTTGGTATTCCTGTAAACGATCCAGATAGTTTTGAAACTTTTCTTGCCACTGGTGGTCTAGCTGATTTTCCGCCAAATTATATTACTTTAACACCGATGGGAAGAGTACTAATGAACTCAGTAATAAATGTGTATAAATATATAGAATTACGAAATAAAGCAATTAATATTGCACTTCAAGATCTATCAGCTTCCGGTATTAGAATGGTCGATGAATTAACACCTATTAAAGTAGAAAAAAGACACAAAGGATTTCTGTCAATTGGCATGTTTACGTTTGTTGTCTGGGCTGCTTTTATATTTGCCTCTGCTGAGTTTGGCCCATTTGTCCCATATGTTGTTGGATCAGTTACATTTAGAGCAAATGCTGCTGCTGCTGCTGCTTTAATAAATTTAGCTGAACAGTTTAAAGAAGAAGATGAAATCGAAATTGACCAATTATTATTAGACCAAAATATAGGTATATTGGAAGGTTATTTGCCAAATATACGTAATGGATCAATAGAAACTATGCTTGCCAATCGTGATAGTATATTTTATAATGGTAGTTATTCTTTATTAGATAACTTCGCAAATCCTATTAATCAGTGTGGACAAAATGTTAGTGACTGTGAAGAAAACAGGTTGGCAGCTATATTTAAACCCAATTTGACAGAAACCTTTGCAAGTTATATAATTAACTATTATAATGGTGTTGTATGCTCTCATCAGAGTAGTCTCTATGCAAGATCAGTATGTTGCAGAGCATATAAAGAATGCCTATGTTGTCGTTTAGTCAATTCACCAATTCCTGGTTGTCAGAATAATTGTGTAATCGCTGGTGGACGAGATAATGATGGCGGAGGATATAATTGGGATCAACTTCAATTTGTAAATAAATACATAGATCCAAACAGATTAAGTCTAACAGCACATTTAAGACAAATTGATTGCCCAACAAATGATGATTATTTTAACAAACAAAGTTGCCATGAGTCTGAAGATGGTGCTTGTTATGGTTATCTTAAATTTGATGGTAGCAATAATTGCGATGAATGGTAAATTTTGCCAAATAAAAGAAGTTTTATATAATTTTATCTGAATATATTTAAATTATAAATTAAAACCTTGCTTTAATTTAAAAAGAAAAATGTACTTGTAACCACTGGTGATAGTCACCATTGGATTCATCAATATTTTATATTATAAATACAATTTGTATTTATATACATTGTATGTTCAATTTACAATTTATTTAATTATTAATACATTTCTTTATTATCATGTTATTATCAAAAATATCCAACTAATAATCTTCTTTTTAAATTATACTTAATTATTCATTTATTTCTTCAACATTTTTTATATTTATTTTGTAATTCAATAATTACAAAGAGATTTGATTTTTATCTAATTCAACTTAAATATGTATTTCTTCAATAATTATAAAAACAATTCATTCTATCTATAAAATTAAAATTTATTTATACGTACTGAACAAAACACGAAAATCACATTTGAAACAATTTTATATAAGGTGGTCATGAAAAGAACTAAATGATCAAATCTCAAAATGCATTTTATAACTTTTGAGCTTGATGCAGCGGCGACTTGACATTATGGTTATGGACCCTTTGAGTCAAAAAGATTTTCAACGTATAGAATATATATCGTATGGGCAAATATATTTGATAACTCATGGGCAAAAAAATCTAAAAAGAATTAATACTTATATTTTTCATAGATAAATAAACTATGATTACATAGTTTATAAAATTACAGATGACGAAGTTTGTCATTTTTATTTGTACTACATGATACATTTTGATGGAGAAAAATCGCGTGTTTGTTTATTTCGTAAAATGGCCAAAAAATGCATATTAAAATTTTAAAATTTTACTCAGGTAATACAATACTTTGGCCACTATTATATATATGTAGATATAATATTATTAAAACTTTTTTTTTTATTTTACCTCAATGTTAATTTTAGTAATAAATATAGTTTAAAATCAAGAAAGTTAAAAAGGAAAGTAATTATAAAGTGAAAGTATTTCTCAAATAGGAAAGTAATTATAAGATGAAAGTAAAGTATTTCTCAAATAGGAAATAATCAATAATCTTAAATGGATTAATTAATAATAAAAAATTGATATATAGTAACCAGTTAAGAAGTTATTGAAAAAAAGGAATTATAAAAAACAGTAAAAAAAAAAAAACTTATATTAAATAACTCGAATTATTTATATTTATATTTAACGAAGTGATTTTTTAAATATGAACCATTGCAAGTCTATAATATTAGCTATATTATGCCTTTTAATTGTGTTGGGAACCTTTATAATTGTTGATAATCAACAAGTTCCTGAACAAGATATATCGAGAATTACCGGGTATCCAGCATGGCACCCTCCAATTGATGGAATGAATGGCAATAAAATTTTATCACGAATAAAACTCAAAAACTAATAATGATTAACATTTGATCTTTATTTTTTATAAAAAAAAATTATTTAGGTAGAGGCAATGATGAACAATCTTTTGCAACTTTTCTTTATACAGTTGTTATAATGACTTGAGTAATTATTATAATAGAAGAAAAAATGACATATTTCGTGCTAAATGATGATAAAACGGTTACTACCTTGGGATTTAATATAATTTTGAGTTTTATTGTTTCTTTACGTCACGTCATTAGTAGATCTAATGTTCCTTTGGATAGGGAAAATATTAGCAGTATTTGGTTATTTACATAATGCAGTAGAACTTTTAATATTAGTTAATATGCATTATGGAGGAAAAATTATTTCAAATACATTTTTTTGGAATTTTAGCACTCTATGTTTTGCTTACTGTTGGATTAAGTATTGTCTTAACTTGACCTTATAATGGGATTATGGTTTAAAACGTAAGGTAATTTTTTCATTATTTATTTAATATATAGACTTTGGATATTAAATACTTAACACAACACACTACACATAAATACATATATATTCAGGTCTTTGTTTTGATTGGGTACTCGTAATTCAATTCACACGAACATAATTTTAACATGAAAAAAACATGTTAGGAATTATTCTAGTGTTAATTCATTAATTAGTAGTGATGATGATGATGAAAGAGGAGAAATAAATGATGTTATCAAATAATTCAAATAAAGTAATTGTTGATCCTCCAACTCAAGTATTATTATTAATCATAGCATCAGTATTTCATTTATTTGTGAGTATTATATGGATTTACGATTTAATAACATAAGTATACAATATAAATAATATAAATACACAACAATATATCTAACTTAAATTACTATTAATTAATATAAATTAACATAATTTAATATAAATTATTAATTAACAGATACGAAACATTCAGTTTTACTTACGCAATTTCATTTCCTGCCTACACATGTTTTGTATATTTGGATACTCAAACAATTTTAGTTCTTTCATGAAAAGTTGTTTATTTTCTTAATACTGATCATTGGAAAATTGCATTGGTAACAATTTTTTCAATTGCGCATTCTTTAGTAACTGCTAGATTAGGTTTACCCAATAAATATTAATAGAATAGCAACAGTAACAGTAAAAACTGCATTTAGTAGTATTATTATAGTATTGACCCATCTTTTTATTAGCTTTATTTTTATTACCTTATTATATGTATATATTTATATTTAATATATTATTTTAGTATATATTTATTATTAATTTGTATCATAGCATTATAGCATTATAGTAGTTAGTATAAATGTTGTATAATCTGTAACACGATACAAGAAATAGGTCAAAGATCTGGACCAAGATTTGGGTAAAGTTATAGACAAACATGGGCAAGCATTTAGACAAAAATATGAAGATTTAGACAAAACTCTTAATGTATATAAAGGCTGACTTTTCCTTTAGTTTGATCTCAGTTGTGAATAATTCTTCAACTCAAATATTATTATTAATAAACTTATAAAAAAGTCTTCATGATCATTATATTTTATATTCTTTTTTGATTTTCTTAATGAACACCTCTTCTTTGTGAATACCTTGCTTAGTGTCTGGGTATATTTCTTGGTGATTTTTAAATAACCTGCTTAGTGTTCTTATTATTCTCTTAATGATAATTTCTTAGTAAATATTTCTTAGTTTTAATATTTATAAAACCTGTCTTTATTTGATGGAGAATCGCGGAACGTGCCCTCATCTTTACCTCTTTAAAACAATTCCATAATTCTAAAACCTTCTCAATTATACTCTTAGAAAGTATAAACTTCCCAACTTTTGCATATTGCTTAATATCTTATACATAGTAATTCACTGCTAATTTCTATTAGTTGTTTGTTGCTGTAATTTTGTTAGAAGGTAAAACACAGTTAACATATCAATATAGTAAAGTTTCATTAATATTTATATAATATTATTTTATATCCCTCTCTTTCTCTTTATTTTTCTCTATACACTTATATACACTCAATAGTAAAAAGTATAAGGACACTTGGTAATTTCTAAAATAATTCATTTTAGTTACTCTATGTAAACCTTTTTTTATGTAACATGAAAGATAAGAATAAACTATATGTTATATAAAAGTCCTATAATTTTTCTATTAAAATTGATAGAACACAATAATAAAATGTTTCAAATTTGATATAAAATTTTAAATTATTGTTACTTTATATAAATTCAGTTGGATTCAATAGATATCAAAATAAATGCAAACTTTCTTGTAAAGAAGTGTAGTTATTATTTGAAAATTTTATGTAATATGCAAATTCTTTTCAGTAATATTTTAAAGTATATCAGAAATTTTATTCATAAAAAAACTCGTTTCTGTCATTAACCATATGGCTTCATTCGATTTTGTCACATAAAATAAGAAATATTTTTTGATGCACAAAGTCGTACATTAAGAATTTTACATCTATAAATAATGAGAGGTGATCTCTCAAGTAAAAAAAAAAATTCAAGACTATTGATATATTTTTAGATCATTAGCAGGTTGAAGATTAGCTTATTTAATTCGTGATTCGCGAGAAATGGAAAGATCTACATTAATAAAATGCGGGGATAAGTTATATAGTAAAAATATATATATGCGATAATCATGGGAAAATTACAAAAGTCATTTTATCAATTATGATAAAAAAATCAAAGGTTCTGATTGTATATATTTTTAAAGTCAAATGGTTACATTAATAAAATAAGATAAAGTTTCCTTTTTTTAATAAACAAAACTTTCTTTTCGATTATATTTAAAATTTTATTTTGCCCCAAAATTTATTATGTAAATCCTTTCCGTTTCTCGCGAATCGCGAATTAACTATATAATGGTTTTAACTGTTGTAGTAACTTTTATTGTATTACAGGTTTAAAGAAAGTTAATATTTGGTTCATATAAAGTTATAGACACTACTTTTAAAGAAAGCTTGTTATTTATTGTAAAAAATAAATGTTTTTATGTCGAAATATTGAAATTTAATGTAATTATCATATGTAATATGAACCAATGATATTTATTAATGTTGATTTGATAAATATTCTTAGATTAATTAATATTGTTAATGCTTTTTTCCTTTTCTTTATTGAAGATCCTACGAATAGTAATTATAATTAGAATATGAAAACAATCAATCATCATTATATTAAACTTAAATGCTATAGTTTTTTTTTATTATACGTGGATACTATTCATGATAGCTATCCAAGTATTCACCTTTAATGATAGATGATGTGATCAAAAAAATAAGGTGACTGAAGACCGTGATATTATAATTCATTAGGTGAGAATAGTGAACTTAATTTTTTTTTAAAAAAAAAAAAAAATTATTATTAATAGAAAGAAATATGTATAATAAATAATCAAGCGAATGAATAATTAATATTGAAATTTATTCTTATATAGATTTCAAAGAACATGATTATTCAAATGATCATTCAAGAAAAAAAAAATAAATTCAGTATTAAATTATTTTAAATGAAAATCGTGAATTTTTAACTTATAACAAAGAATTGGAAAATAAATCTCAAAAAAAAATTAAGAAGAAGCTGGCATAGTGAGTTAATACCTCTCACTAACAAAATAGTGAAGTTTAACTGGCCATATCATTGAAAACAAATAGTTTGTCTATTCTATCTAAAAACATACTGGTACTTTCTATTAATAAAGAAGCATATCAAATTGCCATGTGTTTTAGGATGTAGCATGTTAAACTTCTTAAAAAAACTGATGTAAGGAGCAAAAGAACCCAGTAGATTTTTGCTCTTAACAGTAGTAACTTATATTTGTAATTTCTTTGATTCTAAGACTTCTCTTTAGTGATCTGATTTAATATAATATTGATATAAATTTGTTTATATAAGTTTAAATATAACGGAAGTTCCCTTTTTCTGATCTTATTTTATTTTTTTCATATTTTTTATTATTAATAAAAAACAGAAATTTTAACATGTATCATTTAATATTTTTAATAAAGGAAAATTAAAGAAAATTAACTTCAAAATATTTTAAATAAAAATATATCTATATTACATCAGGAATTTTATAAACATCTTAATATGCTATAAATATAAATATGAAATGTTTAAATAATATACTATAAATACAAAATGTTTAAATAATGTACTAGAACATTGTGTTCTAGTACGCTTTCTTTGAATATATATAGTGTGACAAATCATCCTCACCTAAAATGGTATAAAAGTTAATGCTGATGAACTTTACACTTTCGCAATTTCAACCTTTTACCTTTTCATTCATGACCATAAAATAGTTACATAAATATTTCGATCAGAATCAAATATTCTTGAAGTATGTGACTTAGAATCTTATGCTAAAAAAATAAACCTTTTATGCCTTGAAACAATTACTAATACAAGGAAAGGTCAAAGATGTGAAAAAGCTCAAAATTTGCTGAATAATTACAAGCAAATGTGGCATGGTAGGGATCTCCGAGATTACCATCATTCAAGATTTGAGTCGAGCCACAAAAACAGTGTTGGGACACAGGTGATCTCTTAGATTGCCTGATGTTTAAAAGCCTCAAAGCCTATTGACACTGTCAGATCAGATGATCTCTGAGTTTGTCTGATGTCAAAATGAAGTTAGATAGTAATATGAAAGTTAGAATGAAAATATGATATTTAAGAATACTACTGATTCTGTAAAATTATTGTTTTAAGATAATCAATTAGATAAAAAAATCAAGAGACTGGGAAAAAACATGTTCATATATGTGGATTAATATCCATCATCCAACTATAGGTCGGACAACAGTCAGTGGTGCAATAAATAGTATAAATGGAAGTATAAGTAGAGGAGTGTTCGATGTAAAAATTTATGCCAAAGAGAATAACCTGGAAGAGGTAAAGATGTGTAGTTTTTTCAATTAGAACTATTTTTTGTTCCTAATTAATTACAATTTTAATCCTTAGAATGATGATAAAGATTAGGATTGACATAATTATGTTATCAGGTTAAGAATGTTTTTAGAACACAAGATGTGCGAATATCCAGGAAGCATAATCTTAGCAGATCCAATGAGATTCATGTAGTTTTGAGATTGATAGGGATCATAATGGAGCAAAAAACATCTTGCTCAAACACCTGAGTTAGGGAAACCTGACGTTGCAACCTACTATACACTCAACCCGTAAAAAAGGTTCCAAATACTAACAGTCACTTTATGTTTGGTTTTTCTGTAGGAGTAGGAATAAATTTAATCTTGTATTTTAACTTTATTTATTTTTTTTTAATTTATTTCAAAATACAAAAAAAAAAAAAATATTCTATCAAAAAAATATTAGATATATTAGAAATATTATATATTATAAACCTAATAAATAATAAACAAATAACAAATAAATTATAAACAACAAATAAATAATAATTATAAATAACAAAATTATAAAATAAATAAAATTATTTTAAATATCATCATGTTCAATATTTTCCCATTGTCCAAAAGTAGGTAATTTTAAATCATTATTTAAAGATAATTTAGAAGAAACCAATGAAGCAATATCACTTGAAGAAGTATTAGTATTATTATTTAAAGAATCCAAACTAGATCTAACTACAAGATTACTCTCTAAATTATTATTATTATCATTATCCAATAAATTTTTTGTTGATAAAGAAGAAGGAGGAGTAGCGGGAGCACTGTGAGATAATGATAATGATGATGATAAATCATTTTTATTAATATTAATTCTTAAATCTGTACTACTTAAAGAAGTAGTAGCTTCCTTATTATAATTATTAATATGATTATTGAGAATGTGATTGGTATTGTGATTGTGATTGTTATTATAAGGTTTAGATATACTAATTAAAGCTTCATCCACACCAAATGTTGAATATTCAGATCTTGTAAGTTGATTTTCAAATAAATATAATCTCAAAGCCGTAACTGCTTCAACTTTTTGTAATTCCAGAGCAACATCAACTGGACGCTAAAATATATAAAAATCATTAATATATATAAATTATTAATATATGTGAATCTAATATGAGTAAATATAATTATAATTATTATAATATAAATATAAAGTTATAATTAATATACCTTTCCATTTTTATCCTTTAAATTAATATTAGCATGCCTCTTCATTAAATTTAATAATAATCGAGCATTATTGGTAGCCGAAGCATGATGAAGACCACTCCAACCATTATCATCAATAACATCAATATCACTAGACCAAAGTAATAAAAACTCCACAGCCACGTCATCACTTCTACGTATTGCCTGATGTAATGCAGTTGTACCATTATTTAAATCATTTTTCCAATCCACATGAGCACCCAATGATAAATACTTTAAAGCATCATGAAGATTTGAATTATCCATTGCTTCCCAAAATGACTAAAAAAAGTTATTATTTATTATTATCATATAGAATGTATATTATATATATATATACATATATAAAATACTTACTAAATCTATTGAATTTACATTTTTATCATCATTAATTTTATCAATATATTTTTTATTTACATATTTATCTGTAATGAATTTCTCTCGATCAATTCTATCAATAATAATAATAAATAATTAATATAATAATGATAATTAATATAATAATGAATAATAATTTAAAATAATACCTTTCCCGATTAGTAGTTAATAATATTTTTTCATTATCAAGTTTTGCTTCATATATCTGATTAGCTTTTGCGTTACCTAATCTTAACATAACTTCAATGGATTCCGGTTCCCATTTATCAAGCATCAATGATTTAACTTTGCTTACGTGAACACCGAGACTACGATGAATACCAGAACATTCGATACATAATAATGTACTAAAATTAGTACTTGCCCATTGTGGATCTGAAATGTTAAATAATAATAAACTATGACGATAAATTAAAAATAATAATAAATAATAATAATAATAATAAATTAATTATAATTATAAACTTAATATTAATGTTAATATTAAATTACCCTTTGATTTACAATCCGCACAAAGCTCATTACCCGGTAATTGTTTAATTTGTATAATTGAAGCATTTTGTAATTGATCTTCATTCATTTGTGAAGTTGGACTATTTCTATTATTATGATTATCAATATTTGACTAAAATAAAAAAATATATATATAATAAAAATATAATAAAAATATAATAAAAATATAATAAAAATATAATAAAATATAATAAAAATATAATAAAAATATAATAAAATATAATAAATATGATAAATATGATAAAATAAAATAAAATATAATAAAAAATATAATAAAATAATAATAAAATAATAATAAAATATAATTGAAATAATTAATATAATAATTATACCTGTGAATTATTTGCATTACCAGATTTAGATTCAAGTAATTTCTCTGAATATAATGCTTCTTTTGCTGCAGTTTGTAAACAATATATCCAATCTTCTAAATCTACTTGATTTTCTGCTTGTAAAACATATGTTCTAAATAGATAAATATAATATATGAAGTGATATATACGTGAATACATATAAATAATATGAATTGGAATAATCAGAATAATAAATATTATATAATATAATAAATAAAAATTTACCTCATTGGAGATATTATTTCAAAACAAAAGCGTCTATCTGAATTATTTATTAATTTTATATGACAAACTCTTAAATTAATAGAAGAAGAATCTTCTTCATCCTTTGAAACCTAAATAAATGTGATATAATATTATAATAATAATAATAATAATAATAATAATAATAATAATAATAATAATAATAATAATAATAAATATAATAATAATAAATAATATAATATAATAAATAAATAATATAATATATAATAACAAATACCTTTCCAGCTTTACAATAATAATTTAATTGTTCACCGGAAATAATAAAATATTTACGAGTCCATGATTGCATAACTCTTTGATTTCCTTTCATGAACAAATAGCCCGATTTTTTAATCCCTATTGAATTTATACCTGATTGTGTATTATATTCTTTACCAACTTTGGCTGATCTTAGTGGATTATATGTTTCTTGAGCTGACTATTCAATCAATTATAATAAATATTAAATTATATATAAATTATATATAAATTACTTTATAAAATTATAATAATAAATATAATGGATGTAAAATACCTCCTGAATTTTCTTTTTTAGTTGATATGATTCTTTAATATCATTATTATATTTATCTCTTGCCTAAATTTATATAAAAATATTTATATAAAAATATTTATAATAAAATATTAATATAAAATATTAATATTAATGCCTCAGTTAAAATTAAATAAAAATTAAAAATTAAAATAAATTTACCTCATGAAGTAATTCTAAATAAATAAAATATATAAATAATTAATAATATGATAATTTAATAATTAATAATAATAAATAATTAATATAATAATACTATACTATACTTGTGACATCTTTCATATGTGGTTCCAAATCTTTCATAATTTCATAACTTTGATGATAAAATGATGATTCAGTAAACATTAAAGCCAATATCTATTATTATAAAAATAAATAAATAATAAATTCATTGATTGAGAAATATAAATTTATTGAAAAATTATTAATGAAATGAACCCTTTACATATTCCATAAATTCAAATTTCTTCTTTGCTTCTAATTGATTCATTTTTGATGCATAATCAAGATATCGATTATGGAATTCTCTTCGGGCTTCCGATACTTCGATAGATACCTAATAATAAAAATAATAATAATATGATAACAATATTATAACAACAATATGACGTAATAATAATAATAATAATAACAATAATAATAATAATAACAATATGACATCATAATAATAATAATCCTACTTCAGAAATCATGTTATCCTTAGGTCGTCTGCTCATATATTTTGAAAGAACAACATCAGCATCATTACTGGCTTTTTCAAAACCTTTCTTTACTTCCTAATAAATTATCGTTAATCCATTATTATTTTTTTTTTTTTAATAAAAAATATAATATGTAATATTAAATATATATATAAATAAAATATATAATATGAAATACCTTTAATGGTAATATTTCATTTTTGGCAAATGCTTCCAATGGTTCTATGAACATATTAAATACGTGCGAATGCTGATAATAATATTAATTGAATTAAAATAATACATAAGAAATATATAATAATTATAATATTACATAGCAAATACATAATAAATATATAGTAATCATATAAATTAAACTTTACAAGTATTTTACGACTTCTTTCAACTTCTTGAAGTGATGATACATATTTTGTTAATACAGTTTCTAATAATAAAACAAATTAAATAAATTAAACGAAATTAAATAATTAAAATAAATCAAATTAATTAAATTAATTGAATTAAATAAATCAAAATAATTTAGATTACTTAAAAACTTACTTATAATTGATTCAGGCTGTTGTTTTGCAAATACCCCAAGTTCTTCAGCAAATTGAAGTTGTTTCACTGTATATTCTATTATTTATATTATTTATAATATTTATGTTATTTATAGACATTTATAAATATAAATATTTTTTTATAATAAAACTATATATAAATTAATATAATTAATATAAATTATGTATAACCATACATAATTCATAATTATACATAAATTATATATAAATTATGCTTAAGCTAAATTTAAATCATGTTAAACTATATAAACAACATAGACTATATTTTATATATTTGTTACCTTGAGCAATTTCAACACTAGATTTAGATAATTTAACTAAATTTTTTATGGTATTTTCTAAACCAAAAATTGAAAACTCACAATCTATTAATTCTTTTCGAAAATTTGGTGAATCTTCTTGACATAAATAAAGATTTAATGGTGTTGTCATATTTTTAATTATCAAAATAATTTATCTATCGAAATTTATCGAATTGCAAAAAAAAAAAAGATTTTTCCTTTTTTTTTTTTTTAAAGAAAATGGAATGAATGAATGAATGATTGATTTACATAATAATTTTATACTCCAACTCCATAATAAATTGTTTAGATCACATGCTTGATAGTTTATGTGATATATATATATATATATCAAACAATTAAACCTAATTTTATCATAAAATTTAATACAAAATAATTTTAATTCAACATGATTGAAAAATTACCATCTGAAATTTTGCGACATGTTTTCAAAATTATTTACGAAGATGGTAGTATAAATCGTGCTGAAATGCTAGAAGATCTTTATACTTGCATTCAAATCAATAAACGTTGGTGTAAAATAGCAATGCCTATTCTTTGGTCTAATATTATTCAATCTGCAAGTGTCATTAACACTTACATGTGTTTCTTTACTTCCGAGGAACGTAAAGAATTAAGTACAAAGGGTGTTCCATTTATTAATATTCCTCATAAAACACTTATGACCTTTTGTTATCCTTCTTTCTTACGAGTTTTAAATTTACAAGAATTTACTTCAGCCATTTTTAGTTGGTGTCTTCATGAATGTCCTCAACCAATTTCAATTCCTTATAATGCTTTATTAAGAGGTTTACTTAATATTTTAGCTAGGCATTGTAAAACCTTACAACAACTTTATCTGGATAGAAGATATTATTTAGATAATATGCATCACGAATTATGGTTAATATTACAAGATCCAATTACAAGAATGTTAATTTCATCTGTTAGAAAACTTCGACTTGATGTTAGAAAAATTATTAGTGAAGAATGTTCAAAATTATTAAGTGAATATGTTCGAAATGTGGTAAGTAAAATTATATATTATATATTAAATGATATATATATATATCTATATATATGTATATGTATGTATGTATATCTATATATTTATCTATCTAACTATCTATTTAATAATAATAATAATAATAATAATAATAATAATAATAATAATAATAAAAATAATAAAAATAATAATAATAATGATGATGATGATGATAAAATTAATACATCAAATACATTAAATTAATTAAATTGTATATTAAATGATATATAAATATATATTAAATTATATATGTATATATCTCTCTATCTATCTATATATAGATTAAATTATATATGATAATATTAATTATTATACTATATTAATTATTATATTAATTAGAAAGTTCTTATAGTAGACATGACAATAATGGGATCATATTGGAGTTGGGATATTCGAATTGCTCAATTAATTTCCTCACAGAAATGTTTGACATCGTTTACCATGAAAGGAGGAAAATGTACAAAAATCATAATTTCTGCTTTGGAACAACATTCTAAAACATTGAAAATGATTTTCTTTCGTCGAATTGATTTTTCAGATTGTGATTCAATTAATTCATTAAGATATGATTGCGAAAATTTAGAAGTTTTAATTATTAATAATTGTAAAAATTTATCGGAAAAGATACGTGAAGAAATAAGTATAGCTTATTTTCCTAAATTAGTTGAACTTGATGTGGAAGGAACGGGCGGAACTGATAATTGTGGTCAAATATTAGTGTCGAAAGGAAGAAATAGTGTGAATAGAAGAGAAAATTTGAAAATTAATTTTTATTAATTATTGCATATTTTTTATTTTATTTTATTTTATTTTTATTTTCTTTGTTACATAAGAAATATTCTTATATAAGAAATATTCTTTTATTAACAATAAAAGTGATAATTGACAAATTGATATTGAACATGATAATTAACAAATTGACAATGAAAGTGATAATTGACGATCAATAAGATAAACTTTAATGACTTAAATGAACAAAAGAAAAATGATGTCCAGTTTTTTTTAAATATGTAACATTTCTATATAGTATTTATGTATTTATCTATTTATCTAAATAATACATATTTAATACTGTTATTTTATTAATATTAGAAAATATTATTAATTAAATTAAAACCAATATTTATTGAAATGTAACTTTCATTGGTGGCGTACTACAATCATGATTTTGAGAATGCCAATATCCCATAGCATGTATAACTCCATAATAATGAACTAATGCTGCTGTGACCACAAAGAAATGAAATATTTGATGTGATGATCCCTGTGATAATCATAGATAATTATAAATATTTTATTAGCTTATTATTATTAATTTATTATTATTAATTTATTGTTAACTTACATAAATATCAAATACACCTGGATACCACCTTTCAGGTATTCTATAATAATAATGATAATGATAATGATGATGATGATGATAATAGTTAGTAATTAATTAATGGTTACAATTAATGATTATAAATAATAATAATGATAATAATTAATTAATTATTAATTAATTAATTAATAATAATAATAATAATAATTTACCTTGCACCATAAATTAAAGCACCAATAACATAAATTGCTCCCATTAACAATAAATGTTTAAGTGAAATAGCATCAATACAAAGGTGAATCTAATTATTTTAAAATGTTATAGAAATAGAAAATAAAATTAATATTATACAAACAAATATGGAAATATATATATTTGCAAGGTGTAATAATAATAATAATAATAATAATAATAACAATAATAATAATAATGATAATAATAATAATAACAAAAATAATAATAACAAAAATAAAAATAAAAAATAAAAAATAAAAATAATAAAATTATTATACCCCATAAATTATAATGGCATGGATTAGGGGAACAATTGCACTTAATCCCATTGCCAAAAATAATCCTGTTCTGAACCACCTTAAACGAGGTGATCGGAATTTACTTGAAACTGCAACACTTATCTGAAATATTAAAACGAATATTAAAAATGAAAATTTATTCTTCCAAATAGAAAATAATAGAAATTAAATAAATGAAATAAATACCGTTGCGACTCCAAAGACTGTAATCAATGTCAAATAAAGAATTTGTAACGAATTGTGACAATAGAATCCTAAAATAAAATAAATTAATTAAATTAAATAAATTAATTTAAATTAAAAAATTAAATTAAATATAATTAAATAATTAAATAATAAATTATTAAATAATTAAATAATTAAATAAATAAAAAAAATTAATCAATTGATTTACCATAATATACCATTGGATAAAAGGATCCCCTGTGACATAAATAAAATAATAAAAACGTAGTTGTCAAAAAGTGCAATGAAGACCAAATTGGAATGAATTTAAATAACTTACACTATTAAAGTTACAATACCAACATAATCGCATCTATTCCAAGTGGCACAAACCTATTAAAGAAAAATTAATGTTAAATTTATTAATTATCATTAAAGATAAAATTAGGAATATTAGAATAGGTCTTACTTGGAATTACTCAATTATTCAGACTAAATAACGAAGAAAAGAGAGAACGAAGAAAAGAGAGAATGAAGAGAAGAGAGATAAAAAAAAAGAGAAGAGAAAAGAAAGTAGTTACCTTTTCAGAATGACAACACAAAGTATGAAAAGTAGAGGAAAATCCTAAACAGATCATTGCACCAAGCAAAAATACGTAAAATACCATGAAATCCAACCATCCCAATGTACTATGTTTTGAAAATACATAAAAATGTGTTGCAAATGCCAAGAATAGAAATGCTACAGTTCCAACTAAATGCGACCAAATGTTAACTATTTTTTTTTTTTTCATTATTAAAATTATTTAAAAATTATTTAAAAATTATTTAAAAATTATTAAAATTATTATTAAAATCATTAATTATTAAATTATCAAAATTATTAAAAAAAATGACTTACTACTTTCATTATGTATATAAAATAATGATTGTGCACATTTGACATAAGAAAATGTTGGCCTTCGATATCCTTAAAGTAATAATTTTAAACTTTAAATAATGCTTTTATACTATTTACTATCTATATCTGTGCTATATTTATCTACCTTTTAAAATATCCACATTATCCTGAAGCCATGCGGGCAAATCACCAAAGTTACAAGTCAAACTAATTTTTGTTGCTGATGGGAGTACTTGGTCAATTATATCCAATTTTCTTACTTCACCATCAACACCATGAGGATTAATAGAAGTAGTTTCCCCTAAAATTGTTGAATCTAAAGAATAATTTGTTGATATGGACATTTTACGTTGTTTTAGCATAATTTGGAGTTACACAATGACTTTATCTCGAATGATTATATGTTTTTGTGTAAATTAAAATTAAATAAATTTTTGAATGTTTTTTTTTTTTTGAATAATATATATATATATAAAGAAAATAGATTTGCAAATGCGAAATAATTTGGATATCATATGAATATTAAAACTTCATGTGATAAATTTGGGGTATTGGGGTAATTTGTTTAGTCCGATTGGTGAGCGGATTATTTTTTCACATACTTATTTTTTTATTTACATAACTACAACTTTAAAATAATTGTACCAATACCCTCCCGTTTAGAAAGAGGATGGCAAAAGAGAAAAAAAATATTATAAATTGATTATCTGATCTGATTATTATTATCATCATTTCTTTACTAGTATTGCACCAATCGTCCCACAAGCCTAGCTTATTATATAACTGATTTTTTTGTTATAGAAGGTTCCGCATTGTATTAATTAAAATAAAAACAATAAAAAAAAATTAATAAAATGAAATTAGCTATTTATCAAATCCATGATTTATATATATATAAATAAGGTCCTCAAACGTGGGATTTCTCAATATTATAAACTAAATGACAGGGCCTTGGATAGGGTTGCTAATGGAGTATAATACTCCGGAGTAAATTATTTGGAGTAACCTGGAGCTATAATTAAATTATAACCGGGGTTACTATATAATTGAAATTCTTAACCCATTCCATAATGGAGTGCGTTATAACCTGGAGTTGCTCCGGGTTGCTCCACATAGAGCAATAATTTTATTGGTTGAAATTTTAATAACTAACAAATTTTTTTATCATGAATAAGAGATCTGAAGATTTTTATAATACACTTTCAGATAGTGAACCTGAAGAATTTCTTGTTGCATCTGCATCTACAGACTTAGATAGAAAGGAAAGTAATCTTAGTTTAAATTCTAGTAGAAATGAATATGAAACTTTAATTATAACCATGTCTCAAGAAAATGAAAATAGTTTACATCGGAAATAATTGTCGATAATTGCTACATATAAAATGTTTATTCTATAAGTAAACATTAAAAGCGGTACTAATAAATTTTATAGATGAGAATGTATTCTATTATCTCTGAAAAATGCAAGCCTACTTCATCAAAATTGAGCAAATGATAGTTGTTTTAATTTTTTCATCTATTCAAACTTTAAACGTGAATAATTTCCTCAATTTTGATGAAATAGATTTGTATTTTTCAAAGATGATAGAATACATTCTCATCTATAAAATTTATTAATACCATTTTTAATATTTACTTATAGAATAAAACTTTTATATGTAGCAACCATTGACAATTATTTCCGATTTTATATAAATTATATTATGACATAATTACAACATTACAGCCAAAATTATGGCATTATGGCATTGGCGCAATTAAGAGAATAGTTGCAACTCTGCTGTAATACATTGATTACAGCAGGTATCTTTACTATAGAGTAATCTGGAGTAACCTGGAGTAATCCGGAGTAAACCCGGAGTATAATCTGGAGTATAAATCTGGAGTATTTAATTCAGGTTAGGTTGGGTTACCTCTTACTTCACTATAATATGAACCCAACCCAATCCACTCTGCTCCATTAACAACCCTAATTTTAATGCAAATATCTTTTCTTAAAATTTTCAAATAGGCACCAAATGCTTAACTTAAAACTAGTTTAATATCTTCAAATTATTATAATTAAATTTTTGAATTTTTCGATCTTTTTCAATTTGAATTAATTCTTTGTTATTCAAGAAAGACATCTTTTATATATAAAGAGAGATTTATTACAAGATTGTTATTTAATAAAAGAAATTGCACAAAAAAAAACTAAATCACATTATTTTATTTCAGTATTTTCTTATATAACCTTATTTACCTTTTAATTTTGAATAATCCATATTCTCATCTTGATTGTTTTACCATTTTGTTTTGTATTACAATCATCTCTAAAAATAAAAATAATAATGACAATCTATTTTTTTTAATCAAATATTGTATAACAAAAATTCAATTGTATTTAATTTTTTTCAAAAATATTCATAATTGTTGTAAAAAATATTTATTTAACTCATTCATAAATACTTTATAAAAATTATCATAATTTTCATTATGTAAATATTTTAATATAACATTTTTTTAAAATTATTTGAATAGTATATCAAATCCTCCTCTTGTAATTAGCTTGATACCTTCAAATGTATTATAATCAAATTTTTCAATATTTGAATCTTCCACAATTCAAGTCAAATCTTTTTGTATTTGACACCTTTTTTATATAATGAGTAATTTAAACTAATCTAAATACCATTATCTAGATTAAAATATTATTTCAAATTTTAAAATTGCATGCATTATTCTCATTGCATATGAGAGAAGATCAAATTTGTAAAATATATATTAATCAGCAAAGATGTACAAGGTAAATTATTTTAGCCAAATATTATATTTGAGGAAATGTATAATAGTTCCTTGATAAACTTCTATTTTGTAGATGTAGTGTATGTGTGTGTGTATGTATGTATGAAGTTATTCCTAATAACTCTTGTTTTAATCTGAAGCAGACAAATGTAACTATATGTGTAAGTTTTATTGTCAATAAATTAATGAACAGTAAATTGTCCTTTATTTAATAAATACATATGCCTTATACACCAGCCTGCCAAAAGTATCTGGACAGCTGTTTTTTATCAAATTTTTTTAAAAATTTCAAGGGTGAATTCTG